CAACGGAACCCAAACCAAGATACGATTCCTGACTATCACTCAACGGAATCGCGGAGTGGAGTAGGAAAGATTCCGGACCAGCACTCAACGGAATCCAAACCAGCATACGATTCCGGACCATCACTCAACGGAATCGCGGAGTACATTGCATAACCACCAATCAATGAAACAACACATGAATCAAGTTACTCAAGTTATAAAGGCTCAACGAAACAAGAAATGAAATAAGGAAACGAGCATTGACACATGTTTCAAAGCAACAAACCCCATGACAATGGGTTAACGGTCCACCACTAGCCCTCACCTTCATCAAATCAAGCCACTCATACAAAACAATCCATATTTCCAATATGCACGTCAAATCACATATCCCGATCATCATCAGTACACAAGCCAAATCATGTTTAATAAACATAGGTCTATGGCTAAATATATATATATATATATATATATATATATATATATAATCACATTTCAATAAAATCACATTATAAGACCAAGTCAAATTCACATATGATGCCAATATAAGAAATCAAGGTAATAACCATATCACATTTGTTCAAGTCACTCTCTAACCAATGTAGGCCCACTAGACTTCACTTAAGTCTCCCATAGTACTAATTTTATTATTTAGAACGTTCCGAGACATGTTGACCATAATTCAACTCTCGGTCAACGATGGGGTCCACAACGATCCGCAAATCAGATTTATGATCCATAACTTCCCAAAGTCCACATTATGCTTCGAGAATAACATACTAAAGTTTCATTATGATCCAATGGTCGGATTGTCGTCAATCACACAAACAAATGGCGGTCCAAATTGATCACCACACCAAACAATTGAATCTTTGGAAACCGAGCTAGACATAGGTTCACATGGTCACTAGAAGGTATTTGAAACCTAGACAACACTCGTGAATGATCCCACGCACCGCCACACACGGTGGAAGTCAAGATGGAGGGTTTAGAAACTCCGAATTTTCAACATTAACTAGATGAGCTCAAATTTACATGGTAGCTAGAGCTCAACAAGGGAAACACTTTTCACAACTAGGCCGACGATAAATTCTAACCGGAAACGGTCCAATTTCATCGAAGAAAATCGGATTTCTAGGGTTCTAAACACCCAACTCTAAAATGAATACGAAAGCACAAACTAAGCATACCCACTTGAAGATTATGAAGAGTAGATGAAGTTTCATACCTCACTTGAAGGAAATCGTTGCCGGAATCATCGGAAAAATGATAAAACCGCCGAAAAAGTCGTGGGCTTTGCGACCTCGACCTGCAAATATGGAAAAGAAATGGGGAAATCTATTATCAGAGAGATGTAGGGCTCGTCAAGAGCTTTCTATGGACACCAAGATCACCCAAAACGGAGCTCGGATGAAGAAGATACAAGCGGGTCAAGTTTGGTGGGTTTATGGGTCCAATTCTCCCTAAAACGAGTGAGGCAGCTCCCCTCTCCCATTTTCTGAAACCTCCCCCCTTTTCTGGAGGTCTCACTCCAATTATAGCATTTTGGTAAAATTACCAAAATGCCACCAACTTCAAACGACTCTAACTTCTCCGTTTGGACTCGGAAATAAGAGTTGATCAAAAAGGTCGAGAAAATTAGAAATCACTAAAGTACCTCTCACTTTGTTTTTCTTAAATTTGGAGAAATAAAGAACTAGTTCCAATCAAATCTTTGAAATACGTCAAGAATAAAATAAAATAATAATTTTGGGGACGGGATATCACATATCCTTTGCTCGTGCACTAAAAGACTACTCTAGAGTTCGTCTATAGATATGATATCTTGGTCATTTGATTCCTCAATCAAACAGACAACATAGTCGTATTTCGAAGTCATGGACCTCAAAATTTTCTCGATGATCACCACATCATCCATCTTTTCTCCGTGAGTTCTCATCTTGTTAGCTATGACAAGTGTTCTTCCTAAATAGTCATCAACTGTTTCTCCATTCTTCATGTGCAGCACCTCGAACTCCTTGCGAAGAGCCTGCAATTGAGCACGTTTTACACATGCAATTCCTTGATATTTCTATTTCAAGGAGTCCTAAATGTCCTTCGCCGTGTCCTTTTTCAGAATGGTCTCCAGTATTGACCGATCTATGGATTAGAACATATAGTTCTTGGCCTTCAAATCCTTCAGCTTCAGTTCATCTAAAATCTTCTTTTATGCTTCATTGGAATCCGATCCTTCTACTGCAGCAGTGACTCCAACCTCCACCAAGTTCCAATATTCTTTGGAACGAAGGAAATTCTCCATTAGCATACTCCAATGGTCGTAGTGTCCATCAAGCCTTGGAATAGCTGGTTGCACGAAACTATTCTCAGATGCCATGGTTTTGTTTCTTCACTCAATCCCCTGGGTTGCAAACTTTCGACCAGGCCCCGTAGCGGGGCTCTGATACCAGATGTTAGAACCAGAAACTTGCAAAGAATTACTATAATGCAAAGTTCGAAAGCTTATAGAAACCAGGGAGAATTATCTTATTCATGAAAGCAATTATCATGGCTATTAAATAGCCTTACACTTGAACAGAAACAAGAAATAACAGCCCACGATTTTATAGGTCCTATAATCGTGGTAAAGACTACGTCAAAACAAGAAAATGCAGCTTGTCCCTCAAGTATAGGGATTATTGGACTCCTACGTGATTAACAACCCTAAAAATGTAGCTTGTCCCTCAAGTATAGGGATTATTGGACTCCTACGTGATTAACAACCCCAAAAACTAGGAACCCTAGCAGTAAACCTTATCAGTTAACGGCTAGAAAACTCAACAACTTCAACATTCTATGCAGAGGATGCCTTGCGAACTATGAGCTCACCCGAAGGTATTCTTTCTGATTGGTGACTTTTTACTTGCTTACTGCTGCCAATATAAATGATATTTAAAATTGGGAAGTGTTATTGGCACTCCAAAAATCTCATTCTACACTCTTCACAAGTGTATTTTTCCTTCCAAATATAGAAAGTTTGGAGTGTAGAATGAGATTTTTGGAGTGCCAATAACAATTCTCTTAAAATTTTGATGAACTTCCTTCAACACTATTTACTGATGATTCTTGGAGAATTCTGATAAAACATTTTGGTCTAGGATTATGTTTGAGATATAACAAAACCAACCAGTTGCAACTTTAATGCTAATGTTATATGGAAAGTTATGAACAAGATTTATGGATCGTACAGTTTACTGAACAGTGAACAGTTCATGTAATCCTATTGGTTGTTACATTGATTTAGTGTAGCATATGCAGAAATAGTGTTGAATTTCCCCAAACTCATGGGGAAATATGCGAGGGGAACTCTTTGTTATGCTACACCATTCGGAACATCTGGGTTTGCACAAAGCCATTGCCAAAGGTGGTGCAGGGATAGCTCTAGTTGTTTAGGACTAGAGTACAATAGGAATAGATTCAGTTTCGGCAATTTGTATGTTTGAGTTTCACCTGCTGATTACCATTGGAAATCTGTATCTTGCTGTCTTGATCTATCTGAATTATACAATCATTTTAATCAAGGCCATTTTAGACTTTGATAGCTTCGTACATCCTAATTCACTTCCGTCCTCTCCATAATATCCTTGCCTTCTCACCACCGGCCCGTCTAATTCTCATGAACTACTGAACAAGGCCAGTCCTAAGACCCCGGGCAAAATTTAAATGATACACCATTAATAGAATTGATAGGAGTTCTCAATAAATTTCAAATGAAGCAATCTCCTCTTCATTTCATTTTTCGTTCTTTTCGATTTGCAGACTTATTTCTTAAGAAACTTCATTTAATTTCTATACTAGACAAAAGAAAGAGAAAAAGAATCCTGAAAATTTAAAACTTTTCTTCGACTGGAAATTTCCACAATGCGATCACTAGATTGGATCGGGCTAGAATGCTTGTAAACTCAATCACATGACTTCCACAGTGCAATTACTGATACAATAAGTTAAGGGAATTGTAATTAGCATTCCAAAAATCTCATTCTACCCTCAAAACTTTCTATATTAGGAAAGAAAAATACACTTGTGAGGAGTGTAGAATGAGATTTTTGGAGTGCCAATAACACTTCCCTAAGTTAAATAATAGACACCATTATTGCTCCACTACTGAAATTATGTTACGAATTTCAACGTTAAAAGCAAGTCATCGAAAAGGCCACTTGTAGATGAAGAAGTGCGTGTGAAGAAACTAGTTATTAGCTATTGAGAGTAAGGTGTGTACGGGAAAAGAAAAAAAAAAAAAAAGGTGTACGAATATCACACTCCTTTAATAATTTCTTCTAGGCGAAGTTTCATACTAGATTACATTTCAGGTATACCCGCTGCAACTCGATCAATCTAATACTAATGTTGGTATGATATGATGCATTGGATTTCGGCTTTTGTACATTTGAGTTTCACCTTGAAAATGATCTGTATCTTGCTGTCTTGATCATCTATCCGAATTATCGCTTGTGCAGATCGCATCAATTCATTTGAACTTTACCCTTGCGAACATACTTAAGAGGCGGGTGCTGAGAAGTTCTTCTTTGATTAAAAAGAAAACCCAATGCTATTGGAATTTCGAAGGGCAGAATTTGGTTGTTGGGAGTAAAAGTAGGGGGAAGACGGGGAATATATTGATAAGGTAAAGGTTTCGTCCAAAAATAAAAATTACATAAAAACTAAAAATCTCCAAGTGGTGGATTCCACAAAACGCGTTGCATTTTTCAACTTTAATATTTTAGCATCAAAACAAAACTTATTGAAAAATTCCAAGTGAAAAAAGTCGACTGAGATCTAAAAGCATGCGAAAAAATTAATTAGTTTATAGAACATTGTTGACAATGGGTGGAAAACAGTGGAAAGTAATGGAGCCCATAAAACGCGTACCTTTTTTCGTGTTTTGAAACTTTGGGACGTCTTTGCCACGATTTTGTTCGGAAAAAACACTTTTCTTTTGTTCAGATACATTATTAATTTAAACTTTTTAATGTTAAGCATGTCCCTAAGAAAATGACAAACGAAAAAACACTCTAAACTGGTTTTTTTTTTTTTTTGGGTCAACACACTCTGACCTAGCCTTAGTAGCAAAATCAAAGTAAAAACTAATTCCCAAAATCCACTCTTTCTTCATCTTTCAGTTTCCTATCCAACCAAGGCGCGGTTGCGAGCATGGCTGAGTTGGTGGGCGGAGCTTTTCTCTCTTCTTTTCTCTCTGTTTTGTTCGACCGGATGGCTTCCCGTCCCGTCGTCGACTTCATCTCTGGAAAGAAAAACAACAACGAGCTGCTCATGAGGGAGTTGAAGATCAAGTTGCTCACTGCTAACAAGCTGGTGGATGATGCCGAGGAGAAGCAGATGACAAGCCCGACCGTGAGGAAGTGGCTCGACGATCTCAAAGATGCTATCTACTGTGTAGGAGAGTTGCTGGACGAGATCAACACTGAAGCTCTTCGACGCCGGCTGGAAGGTGACGATAACCATTCTCCTGCAGCTAGCAGCAGCACAAGCCGGATCATGAGATCAGTATTCAAGTCTTCTTCTCCGTCCGATGAATTTCACAACTCTCTCGAATCGAAGATATCAAACATTCTGCGCGTGTTAGATCTCATTCTCAATGAAAAAGATGTTCTTGGTCTGAAGGAAGGTTCTCCAGATAGACCCCAAGAAAGAACTCGTCAAACTACTTCTCGATTCGATGAGGCTGGCGTCTTCGGAAGGGAAAAGGACAGAGAAACGATCCTTGAAGCGTTACGTTCGGATCATCCGACTGGCCCTAGGATAGGAGTGCTTCCCATTGTGGGCATGGGAGGGATCGGAAAGTCCACCCTTGCTCAACTGGTGTACAAAGATGTAAAGGTTGACTTTGGCGTCCAAGCATGGGTTTGGGTCGGACAAGAATTTGATATTCTTCAAATAGCACAAACAATATATGGGAGGATCACGGATCAAACTTGCGGGATCACAGATCTGGATCTGCTTTCTGAAAAATTGGAGGCGATTTTGACAGGAAAGAAGTTCCTCTTCGTTCTTGATGATGTCTGGAGTGAGGATTATCTTCATTGGAATGACTTGATGGCTCACTTCAATCGTTGCGGAGTACATGGAAGTAGGATCATTGTTACAACACGCCTCCGACGTGTTGCATCTATCACCGGCACTCTTTCAGCACATTATCTGTTGGAGATATCCGAGGACGATTCTTGGTTGTTATTTGCAAAGCATGCCTTCACGGATGCCAGTGTTATTACTGCACATCCGTATCTTGAAGTCATTGGAAGGCAAATTGTTAAGAAGTGTCAAGGCCTTCCTTTAGCCATAAAATCATTAGGGGGCCTATTACACTCTGTTTTGAATCCAAAGCAATGGGAAAACATATTGAAGAGTGATTTATGGGAGTTGTCAAACAATAGGGTTTTGCCGGCTCTATGGTTAAGTTACCATTATTTGCCTCTGCATCTCAAGCGTTGTTTTGCTTACTGTGCAATATTTCCTAAAGGTTACGCATTTCGATCTGCAAAGTTAATCTTATTGTGGATGGCTGAAGACCTCTTACAACCCCACGAGAAGGAGGTATTGGAAGATGTTGGAAGTCACTACTGCGATATTTTATTATCAAGGTCTTTCTTTCAACATTCGGTAAACGAGTATGGTCAGTCATGTTTCACCATGCATGACCTTATCAATGATTTAGCAAAGTTTGTATCTGGAGAGTTTTGTTTGAGATTGGAGGACGACCATCGGACAGTCAATAGAAATATATGCAGAACTCGTCATGTTTCTTTCATGGGGTTTGCCGATCAAAGCATTCAGAACTTCGAGGCGCTATATGAGGCTAAGCATTTGCACACCTTTCTACAACTACGTTCAGCAAGTCCTTCAGTAAGTTTTAATGCCAGCCATAAGTTGATGCTGAGAAACGAACTTGTAGATCTATTGCCAGTTCTACGATGTTTAAGAGTGCTCAGTTTATCAAAAAGCAGTATTGTTGAGTTGCCTAGCTCAATTGGCAACTTAAAACAATTAAGGCATTTGGATGTGTCTTACACTTCTCTAAGAGAATTACCTGAGACGGTGTGCACCTTGTACAATTTACAGACCATATTGTTGTCCTGTTGTTTTCAACTTACTCAACTACCAACTGAACTGGGGAAACTAATCAACTTGCGCCATCTCAGTATCAGAAGAACAAATGTCAAAAAGATGCCTCCAGGGATGTGTAATTTGAAAAATCTCCAAACATTAAGCGATTTTGTGGTGGACAAACAAACAGGTCAAAGGACTGGAGAGTTAAAGGAGCTTCAGCATTTGCGCAAAAGACTTGCAATCTCAGGAGTTGGTAACATTCACCATGAGGGAAATGGTTTGGAAGCAGATATCATGAAAAACAAGGAGTATCTGGACCAACTTGTTTTGAGATGGGGAAGAGGTGATGCATACTTTTTGAGATGGGGAAGAGGTGAAGATAATGACACCAGTGATCATGGTCCAGAAAATGACAGAGAAGTGCTCAACAACCTCCGACCTCATACAAACCTCAAACAACTTGAGATTGAATCTTATGGGGGTTTAAGATTTCCAGGTTGGTTAGGAGATCCATCTTTCTCTAAACTATTTTGTATTCGACTTACAGATTGCAAACATTGCCGCTTATTGCCAGCACTTGGGCAATTACCTTCCCTCAAGAAGCTTTGTATTGAAGGGCTGAAGAACGTGGTGGAGATTGGTAGTGAGTTTTACGGTACTGACACTTGTGGGATTACTCCATTTAGATCTCTAGAACAATTGTCCTTCAGAAATATGTTGGAGTGCGAAAAGTGGTCATATTATGATGGAAGCATAGGCAACACGACAATAATGTTTCCCAATCTTCGTCGGCTTGAACTGAAACTTTGTCCCAAGCTGACTGAGATGTTACCGTTGGAGAAGCTGCCAAGACTTGAAAGGGTAGGATTGTGGGCGCTGAAATCCTTCAATGGTTCACTTTCACATGTGGAATCGACATGCCCTAAATTCCCCTCCCTCAGTTACTTGCACATTGAAGGATGTCCAAATTTTGTATGTTTTCCAGATGGAGGGATGGATGCGCCCCAATTGGAGTATCTGCATATCAATGGATGCGAGAAATTGAGGTCATTGCCAGAACAAATGCATACCCTTCTACCATCTCTTCAGAATTTGATGGTAATTGGCTGCCCAGAAGTGGAATCATTTCCTCAAGGAGGGTTGGCGTCAAATATACAAGACCTTTCTTTTCAGTGTTGTAGAAAACTCGCTGCAAACCGCTCACTGTGGGGTTTAACAAGACTCAACTCTCTTAGACATTTGAAAATCAGATTCAGTGAAGAAGGTGGAGAAGAAATGGGATGTTCGTTTCCGGAAGAGGGTTTACTGCCCGCCACTCTCACTCGTCTCTCCATCTACAATCTCCCGAATCTTACAACCATCCAAGGCAAGGTTTTGAGACAACTCACCTCTCTTGAAGTTTTCACGATACACCAATGCCCTGAGCTCCAGGGCTTTCCAGAAGAAGCGCCCAAATCTCTGAAAAGCTTGACTATTTGGGAGTGCCGTAATCTCGGGAGATTGCCAAGAGAATGGCTTCCCAAATCTCTTTCTGGACTGAAAATCCAGCGGTGTCCACTGCTAGAAGAACGATTCCGAAGAGAGACAGGGGAAGATTGGCCCAAGATTGCTCACATCACCAACATAGATATAGAATGTTCTTGAAGTTGGTACTTGCCGAATTCTCTCTCTCAGGTGTATGTATGTGGGTGTCTATATGTATTTACATATCATCTGAATGGCCAAAAACACTTTAGTTGGGTACTATTCTGATGGGGTTTTTTTTTAGTATGTTTGGTTAGTGTTCCAACTCCAGGCTCCAGCAGCACATGCTCATTGTCATTGTATGTATCAAGCTGTCTCGATCCATCCGATTTGTGCCGTCAGTTAATCAAAGGCTATTTATTTAGACTTATCAATTGATAGCATCTTACATTTGACATCTTAATTGGTCAGACTTATTGTGTAAGGACTTCCACACCAATAACACAATGTCATGTGTAAGTGACATTGTTACTTTGAATTTGATCTATGTAATTAGTGAATTTTTTTAGGGCCAAGCCAAACTATGCTACCAAAAGAAAATGATGGAGAATTAGGAATAGAAGCTCCTACAGTCATTTGTGTAAGGACTTACATGCACCACGTCGGACGCCATGGTGGCATTTCAGACCGCATAACACATTGTCAGGTAGAAGCGTCTCCAAATGGCATTACGTTATTAGTCTAGGATAGCATGGTAGGGGCAAACCCGATGCAAGTAAGTCCTTGTAAGAAGGTAAACTTCGAACACAGAATGAATCCATTGCCAACTAAGTATCACTCTTTGGTTACACTGTTTGCTTTCTTTCCAAGTCCAACAATAATTCACACACTATGCCTACAGCTGAAATCGATATCTGGATGATCAAACAAAACCAATCATTGAAGGAAATTCGAGAGGACTGGTAATTTTCTCCAAATCTAACGTGGTAAAAATTTCATGATTCACTTACAAAAGCTCGAAGCACCATATTTTGGATCCTCAGCTCGTCGCACTTTTTCAAGGGGTTTGCTTCTGAAACTCCTAAGCAGGTTCATAAAGGCCTAACATATGCCCAACAAATACATCGCATGGCTGCAACCTGTACCACGAAACTCTTACTAAAATCTTTGCACCCAGTGTAGCAATGATATACGAACAAATGATCACAATGGTTTTGTTTAGAAATTTAGTCATCACCTTGCCATGGACTTCATATTTGATAGGGCCATCAAGTTTCAGCTCCTAATGCCATCAACTTGGTCATTGTTTGATTAATGGCTGGCACTGTGAAGGACAAAAGTGAAGAGTTTACATTCGGCATCGCATGATCCCTGTCAAACTTTAACCATCAGCAGATGCCAATTTCATTGAAAACGCAAAGCTTAAATCCAATTACTGCTCAACTAAAACCACGTTACCAAACACTAGCAAGAATCATAAATCCGAAAAAAACCCAAGAAATTCGAAGTTTCACGCTTACAATCCACACAAACTTCACTTGGGCTTACAGAAAACACGAGCAAACAGTATAATTTGTGGCAAAGTATGTATAAAAATCTGGTTTTGACAAATCATCAAACACGTGGTGTGCATCGAGCACCCAGTCTCAGGGAATGGAGAGCGACAGAGTTTACTTGTGTAGCAGATGATGAATGGGTCCGGATTTACATTCTCAGCTCATAGTGGTTTCACCTCTGAACTGTGTTGATAATTTTTTATATACAAATAATTTTCTTATCCGGACGTTGATGTTTGAAATTCATCCGACTTCCACGGCCGATCAGTCGGCTTGTTACATTTTAGGATGAAAGTTATGCTTTAGTGCTCGTTTGGACGTGCTACTCTGTAAAATGCTTTTATTCACGAACGTTTTTTATCGTATCACTTTTACGATGAAGCAGTTTGTTGTTTGGTAGGCAACCAAGTGTTTTGTATTGTATAAAAGCGCTTTTGAAATTAAAGAGAGTTCTTGTCTGTCAAATGAAAAAGCATTTTCACTAATAATAAATTAATGGCTACATATACAAACCAACACTGGCCGTTCAACTAAGTAATCTAAGGTGATAATTTTGACCATTCTAGACAAAACAATAAGGGCTTGACTCACAATACTCACTTCACTTGTAAGTACAACACCGCCATCATTTGCTCAGGCCTATTCCTCAAAGATCTCGCATAAAACTTGTCCTGCATTACGAAAAAAAATAAGTCAAATAATTAACGTACTTGCCAAAATAGTTGTGTCGTGCACAGCTTATATACTAATGGAAATCAAATAAAGAATTATATTCCTACCGAGAAGATAAGTCGGTATCACTCATAAGCCAGAAGAAGACTACCGTCATTAGTGCAATGTAACCTCCAACTCCAAGGACAATGCCATTAATAAAAATCAAGGGTGGTTCGGTATGGGATCCCATACCAAAATCTTTGTTCTGATTCTCAAACCGAAATTTTTGATAATCCCAATTTCAATATCGATCCCAAACCAATATTTCGGGAATCTCAATTTTCCGGAATCCCGAAATAGTTTCGGGATTTCGAGACAAATCGGGAATCCCGAAATGGTTTTAGGCTTTTGGATAAAAATTTGATATATTATGCTTTTGGGCTAAAATTCAACCTTTTATATTGAAAAATTGACATATAAGCAGGCCCAATCTGCCTCTTTGTTTCTACTAATCTGCCAATCTGCACAATTGCCTATTCAAAAGCAATGTGCCAATCTGACAATCTTTCTTGCAAGAAATTTCCATGTGGTGCTGAGTACGAGTAGGATGAAAGTCTCAAGAACCAACACCTGCTCTTTAAACAGAACAAATAACAGAAAAAGATAACTCTCTAGACTTGATGCAGTAGATAGATGCCCACGAAGAAGACTAAAATCAAATTCTATTCTATAAACAACCCAGCTCCTCAATGGAAACAACCTTGAAACACTTATTACTTTAGTCTAAAGAAGGAGGCGCAATTGCACTGTAGAAATGAACAGTGTTTTGGACCACATTTCAGTTTATTTACAAAGCTGCCACTGTCTCTCTCTGCCGCTGATCTTGATGCCGCGTGTTGATGATCGTGGAAAGGCAGGGTGCGATCGTTACTTTACCATTCTCTTCATCATTCTCTTTCTCTCTCCCTCAGTTTCAATCTGCTCACCTAAAATCCCCAGATCAAACATCCTCCATCTCAAATAAAAAAACCTTCCCCCTTTAAAACCTATAGAATCAACACTCATGGAATAATCAGGGATTTTTGTTGAGGTAATTTTATTTTTTCCTCTTCTGTAATTTGTTTCTGTTAGTTTATTGTTCGTGAATTTTAATGGGAAAATTTGAAATAGATCCAATTTTATAGACTATCTTTTGAAATAGGTCCAATTTTTAGTGACTTTTGATTTTTTAAATAGGTCCAATTTTTAGTTACTTTGGACCCATTTCAAAAAACCCTAATTTTAATTTTTCTATTTTCTGACTTGGAAGAGTCGACCTTCAGGTGATAAAATCTTGATGTGACCATCACATCTCACAACGATGAAATCGCACAGGGCTTCTTTGATTTTTGTCAAACTCCGACCACGACCAGTGTCGGGTAAGCTATCGACTACCCCCTCTTCATCTTCTTTTTCTTGTTCTGCTTCTCCATGCGCATTCCAATTTGACTGTTTGTGTTTTGGATGCATCTTGATTTCCTTAGTATGTTTAGACGGTTCGGATGCGCCTAATAAACAAAACTAATTTGCCTCGCGCGTTTAGTCATCACCTTCCTTCGTCTATAACCTCACGCAGAGACAAAGCTCCCCCAAAACCCTAAACGCCCAAAGGTAATTTTGTTTAATTTTTCAATTAGTTTTAATTATTTGACGAATCCCATTCATTCTTTTTCTACTCTAAATGTGTATAATTTTTTGCAGTATTAATCACAAAGCTACAGAACTGAAATTGCAAACGTTATCCATGGCTCGCTTCAAAAATGTAAGCTTGAAATTTTTAGGTTCTGTTTGGTTGTTGAGAAAACTGAATCAAAGAGGGTTTTTTTTTTTGTTAATTTTCTCGGAAACGTAGTTGATTGTTGTGTTTCTGAAAATTTGAAAACAGAAGAAGGTGTTTGTGAAGTCGGTTTCGATGAAATGATGTTTGATATGGTTAAACATATATATTCAAGATTTTGATCTCTGTGTGATTTGGCAATACTACTTTTCACCTAATATTCCTCTCTCTCTCTCTCTCTCTCTCTCTCTCTCTCTCTCATGAAGTCGCTTATTGCATTAAAAAAAGGTTCCCAGTTAATCAAGTATAGCCGGAAAGGGAAGCCAAAACTTTGTCCATTCAGAATTTCTACTATGACTAATTTCCTTTACATTAGGATATTGGATTCATTTCATACGAATAAGTTTTTTATCTTACATCTTCTTCCAACTGCGCATCTCCACGATCATTACTAGATATCTTAATCGCTTGAATGGCTTCATTTTTCGTATCTTTAACAGGATGAAACCACACTAATCTGGTTTAGGGATTTAGGGTTTTTGAGTTAGTTTTTGTGAAGGTCATTTTTTGATTTTAGGCACACTATAATCGATTACGAGTTTTGGGATCCTAAACACTTTGAAATGGTTTCCAGAAAAGACATCTTTCTAAAGGCGAGTAGCGACACTGTCAATTTCCTCAACCAATCTTCACTGGAATTTTCTCCGTCATCCTATATATTGCAGCATTAACACATTTGATAAGAAATTTTCAGTTTCTGGCCACTTAAGATGGCAGGAAAATGGACACAATAAATTATCCATGGTCTTTATCATAGCTGAGAATTGGAAAGTGCCTGAAATTAATAGTTATTAAACTCTTCCTTTTTGTTTGAAATGCGGGTGGTGTTGGACAAATGGGATAAAAGAAATGGTTGTTGCCTGAAAATTCTGTATTATTTTAAAGAATATATAAAGATTAGTTTATAGGTGTATGCACTTAATATTGGATATATGGTATTTTTCAGGTTATTTGACATACAATTGCATATAATCTCAATTTTCTCCTACAGATTTTATCTGAGCTTCGGAATCGTTGAAAATTTTGTCTAAATAATAAATTAATTGAAATGGTTATTAGTAATGAATGAGGTGTTTACTGTGTTTTTTTGGTGTGTACAGATGGTATGTTGCTAACGAAGGCAAAAACAAGATGCAGTTTGCTGCATATAGAAAACGGAGGTTAGTTTGATTCCAACTCCTTTTTTTCAATTTATTTGAATAGAAAATTGGTAAGTTCGAGTCCAATTTGATTATTTCTTGCTTTTCTACTGCCTGTCTGCTCTCCCCCTTTCTTGCTACCGTCCATTGCTCTATTAAAAAAAAAAAATTAAATAAAAAAAAATAAAAAAATAAAAAAATAAAAACCATTTGCCAAACCCGCCAAAGCCACAAGAAAAGACAAGTAGAATTTTATGTTCTCTACCCACTTTTATTCATGATTGCTGTTGGCTTCCATTTTTTAGAAAGGAAAAGTCCCGCTCTTCTTGGACAATACCATCTTTCTCAAAACATGGATTCGGAAAGACATCTGACAGAATTTATTTTGAGTCTAAATTATTAAATTAGGAGAGCTAAGAAGATATTAATAACTCTGATTTTCTCTTTTGGCTACCACCTTGCTCTCCATTTCTCTTTTTCCTCCTGCTCTGCTACTTTTTCAGTGTTACAACCTCTATGCAAAAAACACATTGTATGTGTTTTGCATGTTTTTGTTCATGCTTCTATTCTTTGTTGTCATTGTGGTGACTCTGAATGGAATTCTCAGTTATCTATTCCTCTGCAATACATGATGCATCTTATTTTTGTTCATTGACAGATGATGCCACATGCTTGAGATTTTTATGCCATCACTATGTTGGTTCTTTTATGATTGTTATTATTTGTTTTAAAATGTGTATGTTGTGTGTGCACAGATTAGAGCAGGGATCCATGATTTAAATTCAAATTAATCCTCACATCAAACTTAGTTAAGTTCAATGTTGTTTTTTGAAACTTTGTATGCTGTTACCAATAATGTTAAGTTTAAATCATTTTATCATAACATTATGTATTTAAATTTAACTAATAATGTTAAGTAATAAAACGACGTAACAAAACAACATTCATTGAGACACGCCAAAAACAAGAATCTTCATTAACGTTATTAATAAACCAATCAATATTTCATAATTTTTTGCATGTAAGTGTACTAATATCGATCCAAAGCCGCATGGCCTACCTGTGTGGTCAAATCTTTTGATAGAACAATCACTCGACGTTTTCAATGTACATAGCATTAATCTTTAGTACATTAATTCAAATAAAATTGTGGCTCAAGGGAACAGTTAATGATCCACATGGCATCAAAGTATCTTACTCAATTGTATATTACACATGTGTATTGCATTATGTGTGTGAATACCTTTTTTCACCGTCAATCTATATTAGTTTTGAATTCTGAGTTGATTTAACTAACAGGTTTCTTTTTATTTCAGATTAATTTGGTTCTCGCTAAATGAATCAAAGATCATAAGACTAGAACCAATGGTTTCCAAAAAAGGTTGGTTCTTGAATATTTTCATTTATGCTTTTTCAGTTCTTTGAATGGACTTCCTATAATCCAAAATGAGCTATTGAACAACTCTTTTGCTACATTGTGTTTGCAAATCAATATTTAGGCTAATAATTGAAGGCTGATTCTTTTTTGTTGAAAAATGTAATCTGGATTCTTAAACTGTGGTGGTTAATGTAGTTTTTAGGTGAATTTTTCGGGTGGGGGAGAAGGGGTGGGTGGGGGCTTTAAATTGTTATTCTCAATTGGTATATAAATATGTGCAAAACATGGATATCATGGAAGAATTCAAATGTTTTTTCTGCATTATGTTGGAGAGCATGATCATTTTCTGTTTACACATCACAAAGTTTGTTTTGAGTACTTCTCACGCCATTGAGGCACAAATGTTCTTCCTGCATTAGTTAATGTTCTTTATATCAAAATTTAATAAATTCAATTTTCCTTTGTATCCAAATATGTATTAAAGTAATTGTGATTCAAGTTTGTTTATGTCTGCTTTCCAAGATTTATTTTTTGTTTACATGTCGTACTCCGTTTATGAATGATTTTTGGTTAACTGAAAGAATGCTTTTCATTCTTGGTTTTCAGGACTTTATCTACCGTTTACAAGTCAACCCCATAATACCAAAGTACAAGAGAAGCAAAGATTTGAGGTGATTTTTGCTCTAACTTATTTAGATTTTATATTCTGGGTTAATTATCAGCCGGATTCTGTTGCTAGATTTAGAATTGTTATTTGGTACCACTGCTGCCACCTGCCGCTTCAGTTTTCATATCCAAATGCCACAAAATGCTAATTTTAAATTCTAGGTTATGGGTAAGCATTATTATTTGGAGGCACAAATTATTTTCAGCCGCTAAACCAAGTTCTAAATCTTTTTTTGTGTAGTTTACATTAGGCTATCCAAGCCCTATTTTAAATGTATGATTGGTTTGCATGAAATGAATGAAAAAGAGAGTCAGAATACCCTGTGAGATGACCGATTCCAGAAACCATTTTAAATAAAACGTATCAAAAGTGTTGAACGGAGAGCTAAAAGATTATTTGCATGGAAAACAGATTTCACTTTGTTTTCTTTACTCAAAGTGCTTTTATTTAATCCGGTTCTGTTTCGGTTACGTGGTTGATGATTCGCAGCGACTAAGAATTGTTTCCTAAGAAATCTATTGAGCTAAGTTCTTTTGGTGGGAAATTAGGGTTGCTGATGTTAGCAATGGATTGAGTCTTTCTGTTTGGTATGATTATATCTCTGAACAAGCATTAATAAATAGAACGATTTTGATCAATAGTTTTATTCGGTCAACATTCAAACTCCCATTGTAGAGCAAACTATAACTCAAACTCCCATTGTAGAACAAACTAGAAGTCAAACTCCCATTCCAGATCAAACTATGAGTCACACCCCTATTTCAGAGCAAACTGGGAACGAGGAGAAGCAATAGGGCATGGCTATTTCCGGGGCATCGGTCGTTTTGAGATTCTGGTGTAATTAGGTTTGAACATTCTGCTCTCTGCTTCTTGATTTATATATATCTCGAATTTCTCTCAATTGCTAATGGATTTATCTTCTTGGGAAATTTCAGAAAGTCAGGTCGTGTGAGGAAGAAGCTGGTTTGTTGCCATTTTTAGGTATATAATTATGTGCCCTGATAGCATATTCAAAGCCTATTTAGTTATATGGGTTTTTTTATTTATCTTTCTAAAGCTTTTGTGCCTGTATTTTAAATATGTGATTGATAATTACTTAGCACGATAATTGTCAAGCATTTGATCGTTATTGATGAATACAAAATCTTCATTCACAAATCACAAGTATATGATGAGCTATTTAGAAATTCGGCATTTTCGTCATCCAATTCAATAGCATTGGGGATACTATGCTAGAATTCTATTACAGCTCCAGTTAAGAGATGTGAAGCATGAAGAATATCTCTTTAGGAAGTGTTAGCTAATCCGGTTAATTGGTCAACGAAATTAGCCATTTCTGTCATCTAGATTGGATGAGCTAGGAAGAATGTTAGAATGATTGGTCATATTCGTTAGCCCTACGTTTTTTTTATTGCATAATGATGGAATTGACACGTTATTTAGTCATAGTAATTGATGTAATAAGTACGTATCAACTGCCGCATTCACTCATCTATCCTTCTCTTCATTTAGGTAAAATGTATCTTATTCGTGCAGTTCAAGGTGATGCGTTCAAGTCCTGCAGCAACGCGGGCACATTTTCTAGTATTCTCTATAATTGTCGTTGAAGCACAACTTCAGATGTCAATAATTAATAAAGAACCACTTATTGAACAATTTCTATAAACTACCAGATGTTAAAGAATAAAATCAAACGAAATAACCAACTCTGCAAAACACACAATCTCTACATAACCAAATATGCCTGATGATGCCTGAGGTGGGTTGTGGAAGGCCGAGGAAGAAGTCAACTCTGCAAACAAAATTAATTCCAAACCCTAAATTAAATTTCAAAAGGAAGACAGAAATTAGATTTCAAAACACTAAATTAAATTAATTACCAAATTAGATTTCATAACGAATTGTTCAAATCAAGGTTTCTTTTCTTGTTCTAAATAGTAAAAGAAATCATGATTTCACACCAGGAAGGATAAATCATACATAATTCATATTGGAGATGCATTCGCATAGCCTATAAGAATATATACATAACCATAATCGGTTGAAAAGAACGAATGGGGTACCTCGCTAAAATCCATATAAATGAATTCAAGTAGACAATCAAGATAATTGATTTCTATAAAGAGAAACCATCAAAGCTCACAACTAACTGGTAGACGACAAGGATCCTAAACACGATAAAAAGAAGGAAAATGTTTTACAAGGAACAAAGAAGCAAAAGTAAAAAAGCTCTGATTGCAAAAGGTATTTTAGAAAACATTTACGTCAGGCTCCCTGCCCCCTTTTAACCTCTCATTCCCTCTATAATCTCTCCATCGATTCAAAATCCCTAATTCAAAAAGCCCTAATTCAGAAATCCTAATTTCAGAAATTCCTAATTCAGAAACCCAAATTCAAAATCCCTAATCGAATTTGGAATCAAACAATTTGTATGAACTTTGGTTGAGTTTATTGCAGGAATTTCTTACCTTTTGCAGTGAGAAGGAGTACGGACTGAGACCGAGAGCTTGATTCAGGAGTCGGATTCGGGTGGGTAGATTCAGGTGAAGGCGCGATTCAAGTGAGGAGTGAGGACCGAGAGGAATGAGGACTGGTGGTGTGGGTAGATTCGAGATTCAGGCGACGGATGTGGGAGGAGGAGAGACAAATCGCAAATCGGCAAGGAGAATGGTGAAGTTTGAGTCTGAGGTGAGAACCTGAGGTGAGCATCGAGAGACCGAGAGAGAGCGAGTCAGAGACTTTGATAACTTTGATTTATATTCAACGGTTGAGATTAAATCTCAACATAATCCAACGACTATTAAAATTCTAAATATATATTTAAAAATTAAATAATAAATATATATATTTTTTGGTTTGGTTTGGGATTATCGAAATCCCAAAAACTTGAGATCGATTCCCATACCGAAATTTCGGGATCGGTTCAATATTAGGTACCGAAATTTTCGGGAATTTCGGTTTGGTTTCGGGAATTTTTCGGTTCTGTTTGGGATTTTTGGGATTTTTTTCCAGCCCTAGTAAAGATCTCCTCAGTTTTCAGTTGTCTGGCTGTGCAAAAAGATAAGGACTTAAAGCTGAGCCTTGGTGTAACCCTACAATTATATGTAAAAGTTTTCGGTTTGTCCTTCATGAGTTCTTACTACAATCATTGCTCCTTTGTACATATTTTTTATTGCTTAGATATATGCTACTCATCTTCTTTTCTTCTCTAGAATCCGCCAAAAAAATTCTCTTGTGACCCTATTATACGCTTTTGCTAAATCTATAAAGTCCATATTCAATTTCTTTTCATATCTATATATTGTTCTAGCGATCTTCATAAGAGATAAATTGTCTCCATGGTTGAGCGCCCTGGTATGACCCGAATTGATTGTTTGGGACCTATGTCTCTTGCCTCAGTCTATGCTCAATTACTCTCTTCCAAAGCTTTATTGTATGACTCATTAACTTAATACTTCTATAGTTCATGCAAATTTGTGTGTCGCACTTATTTTGTACATTGTCACAAAAATGCTTCTTTTCCACTCATTTGGTACATTCTTCTTTTTCAAAATCTTATGGTAAATCACCTCACAAACTCATGCTTCATCTTCTGAATATGGAATTGTTAGCACTCGAAAAATCTCATTTTATACTCCTCATAAGTATATTTTCCATTCTAATTATACGAAGTTTGGAGTGCATAATGAAATTTTTGAAGTGCCAATAACAATTCTTTTTTAATATTGTAATGTCATACATTAATATACAAATTCGTTACAATGTCAAACCTCTGTCTCAATTTCTATTTATTTGTCCGATATTTGCCTATGTGAACATTGCGGACCCCACATATTTGTGCCACGTGGATAATAATAATTTTTTTAAATCCCATTTTTATATATATAAAAAAAGTGTAGATATTAATAAAAATAAATTTAAAAGCTCCCTTCTTCTCCATCCACCTTTTTCTCCATTCCAGACTTCCATCACATGTTTGCAAATACTGTATTAACCTCCTCAGATGATCTTTTCTTCTTCTTCAACCATTCGCTCGGTTTCTTCCCAAGCAGCGGCGTCAGCACCATTTTCTTCCCTTTACTCGCACCTGTTGAGAATGAATCTCACATTGATGAGAGGAGGGACTTTACATGGGCTTATAAGTAAGTTGGGCTGTTCCCCATATTGCCAATTAGTTTTATGGTGGAACATCAACTTTCTTTGTAGTATCAGAGCATGTTGTTCCTAGTGCGAAGCCCAACGACCACACATATTCTACGTCACCCGATTTGTGTTGTCCATGTGTTCAGCTTGAAAATTTGCCATATGTTAGGGGGCGTGTTAAGAATGAATCTCACCTTGATGAAAGAATGAACCTTGCATGGGATTATAAGAGGCTGGACTACTACCCCTATTGCTAATTGGTTTTACATTGGAACCTCAACTTTCTTTATGGTATTAGAGCAGGTTGTCCCATGTGTGAAGCCAAACGGCCACACACGCTCTACATCATCCTGGTGTGCTATCCATGTGTTAGGCTTGAAAATGCGACACATGTGAGGGGACGTGTTGAGAATGAATTACACATTGATGGGAGGAAAGACTTTGTGTGGGCTTATAAGTAAGTTGGGCTACTCCCCAATTAATTTTATGGTAGAACATCAACTTTCTTCGCACCCAAACTTAAATTCTGATTGGCTGCAGGCGAATTGGGCAAATCTGAGGCCATTAGTTTTTTAATAATCGAATCAGACTGGACTTGCAAGCAACTGGGGGCAGAATTATTGAACACTTGGAAGAAAAATTAAACTTGTACTTGGGAATGTACTCATCGCATTGACAAGTACGCCCATTGGATGTGCATAATATTGCTCATACTAACAATAAAAAGAAGTTTATCATAATTATCATATTCGGATTTGAAATGATCGATTCTTTCTTCCAACAAAACCAAAACTTCTATATTTTTTCAGTCAGAGATTCAACGGATGAAGAACAAAATGGAATTTTCAAAATCGATAAAGTAATCGGAAGATAACCATTATGGTAAAAGGAAATTTATCATTATTATTAGTAAGGCTCGAAAAACACCATTGTTTATGATTCGAGGTCGAAGAGAATAGGAAGCTAACTCAATAAAGATAAAATTATATTCCAACCTTCCTACTCAACTTCTCAAATACCTTATTTAAACTTGAAAGGGACGCTTGAAATAGTAAATTACTTTAGTCTAAAGTAGGAGGGGAATCGCACTATTCATATGAACAGTGTTTTGGACCACATTTCGGTTTATTTACAGGATTGCCACTCAGTTGCTTTTAACACTTTCGTTTTATTTACACAATTGCCACTCAGGCTTAAGAATTGATTTTCAACCGTTAACAGCTTTTGACTCGGGGAGAGAGGGGAGTGGGATATCACGGCTGACAGATTGGAGAGACGATGACTCCCATTTTTGACTCGGAGACAGCTGGGTGTCGCTGTTTTGAGCAGAGAGAGAAGGGGACAGAGCGACTACAGAGCAGGGAGACACAGGGCCTGCATTTCAGCTTTGACTCAGGGAGAGAGGGGAAGGGGACATCACGGCCGACGAATTTGAGAGAGACAATGGCTCCCATTTTTGACTCGGAGACAGCTGCGTGTCGTTGTGGCAAGCGGAGAGAGGGGGACAGAGCGACTACATAGGAGAGACACACAGGGCCTAACAGATTGGAGACGGATTAGAGCTATGGATTTGGACTGAGTGAGAGAAAGATTTTGCTAGCTCCTCTGCCAGGATCTATGGGATTTTCTCCCATTTTAGAGAGAGAGATCGACAGGGAGAGAGATATAGAGCGGAAAGCATGGGTGTGTGTATTCTTTAGGGTTGACGAGTTACGCACAGAGTCGGTGAGGAAGGGATGCCTCAGGGACGAATGGCAGGGTCTGGGTTTTCATTTTTCTCCCTTGAATCAAAAGGTATTGCACTGCTTTTGTTTTCATTGTTCTTTCATTCAAATTCTAACGGATGTCTATAAATTGTTCAATTGGGTGCTAGATTATGTCTCTGTTTTTGTCAATTAGGATCTTCCACTGATTTAACTTGTTGTTTTCTTGATTACTTTTTGTGTGATTGATCCTTTTTCTATTTTAGAATTGTTAGGGATATTTTGTTCCTTCATTAAAATTGTCATAGATCTTTATAGATTGTTTCGCTCACCTTAGGATTTAACTCTTTTTCAGTTTATTGTTTTTAATTGTTGTTTACTGTTTGATTAGCCATTTCATTTATTAAAATTGTCATAGATATTTTTTCTATCATTAATGCTATCATAGATATTTTATATTGTTTACTTAACTATTAGGGCTTGCTCTTAGTCTTTAGCAGGTTGTTTAGATCACCTCTAGGATTAGCTACATGTCCAAATTTATCCTACAACCTAATCCATTGTCCTAACAACCATAATGTAGATAAATTTGTGCTGCTCCATTGCACATAGGCAGTAAGCTGTGAAGTATATCAAATATTCCATAAGATTAACCAACGTTTGACAAGTTTAAGCAGATACACCAACACAGAGAGAAAACACCTAAATTTACAGCAACATGAAAACTTAACAAATCAAAAAAAAAATTTGGTAAAACATATCTAAGTTTACACAATTTATTGTTTTCAATTTGCTGTTGACTATTTGATTTGCCATTCCCTTTATTAAAATTGTGATAGCTCATTTTTCCTTCATTAAAGTTGTCATACATATTTTAAAGTTGTTTAGTTAAGTTTACAGCTTGCTCTTTGTCTTTGTAAATTAGGGGGCTACACTGTTAAATTGTCATGGCTAATTTTCCCTTCATTATAGCTGTCATAGATATTTTTAAATTGTTTAGTTAACTATTATAGTTTACACTTAGTCTTTCTAAATTAGGGGACTGCACTATGTTGATATTTGTGTTTTTTCAGAAATTTTTTTTCCTTTGCTTATGTGTAAACAAAATTCAGTCTCCTTTTTAAGTTTATTGTTTTTTAATTAGGGAGTTTAGGCTGTTTAGCTTTCTGTCGTTATAAATAATGGGGTTACACTCTGCTCATTTGTGTGTTTCTTCATACTTTCCTACTATTTGCTTCTCACCAAATCACCTTTAGGTTCCTTTCCACTTCACATCATTCGAATATCTCTATGTTCCTAGGTTGTTTTTCCATTTCTTGGTTGCTTCTATATTTTTGTGATGCACTTATAAATTTTATTTTTCATATGCATGTAGATCCAGCAAAAGCATACACATCAAACCCCTCATTCACACAACAGCCACCAAAGAGACCATTACTGAGGTATTTCTCAATCCATTTAAAAATTTTGTTAAGTTTTGTTAACTTTTATAGAAACTAATTTCTAATATAATTCTCCTTACTGTGTTTGGATACAAACTCTTTTTCCCTCTAATTTTTTGCCATGTCATGTATCCTTGCAACTCAACCACCTGCAAGTTTTTGAGAAACAAAGAGCCTCATCCACTGGAATCTGTAATTCATAGCAGCAGGTATATCCTAACCCTTTCGTTATCATCTCCTTACTCATGAAAACTTTCTCCTTCTATTTTTTTGTTGATACAGTATATAGTGTCCTTTTTCTACCTTGGAGAGAATCATTTCGTATTATTTGGATTTGAGAACATCAGCATACACATGTCTTGGTTTTTTGGCATGCAACTAAAAGTGTGAAACGTCAATTTGAGAACAGTAAGACTAATTTCCTGGCTTTTTTTATTTATTTATTTTATTTTAAAACCAAGCCTACATTCTTTAAAGCCACTATTAGTATTTAACTATGATTTGAATTAATTGATCTGTGGGGTGTTTCAATTGATCATCTGCAAATAAATATACAGTTCTTTAGTGGTACCAAAGGGTTGACAGTAGGAGTTCTTAGTCATCCAAATCTATTTCAACGCTGGAAGAAGAGTTCAAACATATGTTATTCTCTTATATGTTTGTATTTGAATGGTAACAATGTTGTTCTTCTACTGCAAAAATCATCCTTTTAATCCATTTCAGCTTAGGCTCAACTTTACTTTCATTTCAGCTTCATTTTCATGTTAATCATATCCTGTTTGTGTGTGTTTTGTGTTGGCATTGGAGGGTGGTGCTTAAACTGAAAGCTCTGGGTTTTGCTGCTGCAATTACTTTTGTCTCATAATGCATATAAGAACCTTTCACTCTGGTGCTTCTATGTTTGAACCGAGAAACACTCATGTGTTTTTGGTTTTGCAGTTTGATTAGAGTTATAGATGTGTTAACATGTTTAAGTGGTGGTGCTTAAACTGAAAGCATGCTCGACTTTTTATATCGTTAATAATTTTTATCAAACTCAACGTTTCATGAGGGTCCAACCTGAGAGCTTTGTGGGAAGGAATGAAACTTGATTACACCATTTTAATTAGAGCTTTTCTTATGGTCACTACCAATACACACCTATACTCTTTGAAGCGACTTGGAATAAATATACGGTTCTTTAGTAGTACCAAAGGCTTGAGAGTAGGAGTTATTAGTCATCCAAATCGTTTGCTTGCTAAATCTACTTGATGTGGAAGATTACATATAACCTTGGCCTTAAGATATGGTATTCTTCGTTGAACCAAATTAGTTGTGCTCGATTCAAAATATCTGTAAATTTTGTTTTTGTTTTTTTGTTTTTTTGTTTTTTTTAATCTGTCTTTGTTCATTTAGCTAAAATTCTTTACATTTCCTCTTTCAATTTGAAAGTGTCTAAGTCGCTAACGGATCTACTTTCTTTGCAGATTACAAAAATTTTGATCGTTTGAGGAAGAGGTTGGTTCCATGCCGTTTTGAGGTAATAATTATACGCCATGATGTTTGTTCAAAGCCTATTCAGCTATCTACCTTTTTTTATTTATATTTGTGAAGCTTTCATGCTTGGATTTTAAATATATAATTCAATTTTTGTCGTTTGAGCTTATATTGGAACTGAGTTTCTTTCTATTTAGTGTGCATATTTGTATCTGTCCGTTTATGTCAAGGTTGAGATAACTAAACATCCATTTGGTCGTTTTACCGTAGAATGGAATTGGGCTTCTTTCTATATTGTGCACGTATCTGTATATCTCTATTTATGTAAAGCTTAAGATAACTAACCATGTATTTGTAACAAACCCCGTTCCAATTGAATGGTTGGTGTATTTGTTCGAAACGCCGTTCGAATTGGATAATTGGTTTATTTGTTGAAAACCCCATTAGAATTGTATTTGCTTGGATGGGCTGTTGGTATACGGATAGTTGGATTAGGAATTTTGTCTTGGCATTTTGTGATTGGGATCTAATTACAGCTTTTGTGTTTCATGTCTCCATGTTTTGGTGTCTGTCTTGTCTGTATAGTTAGTTTGGGCTGTTTTTAGATTCTTAAATAATGCTGCTTGATATTGTTTGTAATGTTATTTTTAGAACTGGGGGAACAGGGGTACTGTAGCAAATGAACTTAGAGTTGTGAACAAACAAACTTTCCAAAAAAACTCTCCCAAATAACAAACTACAAGCTATTTATAGCACATTAAATACATGCCTTTGTCTCTGTTAAAGATTTTTATCGGTTTCAAGTAATTAAGGCCATGTACAAAGCAAATTTATAGGAAGCATCTTCATTGACCTATGTTTATGTGTTCTGTGATGAAATTTTACTTTTGTCCACGACTACATCATTTTAGGATCACATTAGATTATTATATGGTTAACTGGTAAGTTTCTGATACCATTACATACTTTGTCTCATGGAACCACAGGGTATTTTACGTTCAGTGTGGAGTTATGACAAAATAAAGCATTACTACAAACAACTAAGGGGAAATATGAAAGATCATAGAGAAAATTCTTAGTAGTTATACAATCACAATTTAAGTTACTTTTATTGTAACTGTTTGTTTGCACTTCAAATTCTTAATCTCAGTCTCACTGCTTTTTTGCAGTTTAGATCGTGCTCACATCGTTCAATCATAATCTCCTCTTGCTGCTGCCTTTAATCAAGGGGTTCTGAACCATTACGTTTCAATCAAGCCTTTGGTATGCCCTGGACTTCAATACATTGTTTCCCCATGCTTTCCATTTCAGATAGTGCGATTTTATAATTTTTAACATAACTGTTAGGTTTTTTCACCTCATATTAAACGTTTGTTCTAAGCTTTGTTTCTCATTCTTCGTTATCTTTGTAACCTCTGATTCTCCAAAGGTTTGATAGTTCTTTCTTTTTTTTGGTTTAAATTTTGTCTATGCAATTCTGTTATTGTGTGAAAGTCTCTTGGTGTCTCTGTGATTCTTATCTAACCAGTGTTTTTAATTGTTTATCAAATGTTGTTAAGCATTTTATATGTTTTCTATTGGTTGCTTCCTTTCTTTGTTACGTTCTCACTTTACCAAATCGTTCTTCAAAGGTTAGTTACTTTGGTTGGTTGGTCTTTTCGTTAGGTTTATCTGGTAGTCTACTGTCTCATCCTCCCCAAAGTGCTTTAATAAGTGATGTTAACAATTCCAATCTCTCAACAAACCAGACATATTTCCCAAAAAAAAAATCACAACTTCCATATTTAAATTTTTAAATTTTTTTACTGTGTTATTCTAAGACCTACAAGCTAAACAGATTTTTCTAAAAACATAAGTATGACGCTATATTTAATTTGTGATTCAGGGTAGGTAAAATGGTCAAAGAGATTGATCAAAGCGAACAACAAATTCTAGGAGGAGTTTTGGTTAAAAATTTAAAGGAACTGATTGAGGCTCGAAATAATAACAAGATTCGAAAAACGATACAGATATATAGAGAAACTGCCCCAGGACCCAATACAAAGGAAGCAGTCAAAATAGAAAAAACAAGGCTGGGTTTGCGTGTTTATGGTAAGGGTGCAAACCGAAACAAATTGGTCGTCCACACTATCCATTCACCTGAAAATCGTAGTAATTCGCCAAAAGAACAAGTTCCGTTGAATGAAGAAGTTTAACATTTTTTTAGGGGGTTTTCAGTGGGATCTACAAGTTTGGTTGTTGCTACAAAATTGGAATTTTGTTGCTCTTTCTTGCCTCCACCATAACATCCTTCTGGGTTTTCAATGTATAGAGACTAGATGGGTGTTGATAAGATAAACGCCATGTAAACCTCTTTTGTTTGGTCATAACATCAATAATGTAAACAATTAACCCTTTTACCGTTTTAAGGATGAAGTGTTGGCGTGCTGGGAATATGTTTATCTGCTTATATATTTTTTGCATTTCTCTTTTTCTTGATAGGATCCTTTGACTCATGCTTCTTTGTTGGCTATACACTTTTAAAACAGTTGTTCTATTAATGTTTTGATATTATTCGTTTGTTTTTAAATTGCAACTTTAGTTGTTTTTATGAAGATTCTGTTCTCATTTTTAACTTTGAAAATTTTAGTTGGTCCCTTAACAATTTTTAATTGGTTACTCCAAAACATATGTTTCTATGGATGTTTATGTTGTGTTAGTTCATTCTTTGCAGCCATATCTGAATTCTTAAAAACTATGGTAATTAATGTGGTTTTTCGGGTGGTTTTTCAAATGGGGAAAAAGGGGTGAGCGACGAATTTATATTATTATTCTCGGTTGGTATGTAACTATTTGAATATGGAAGGCATCGTATTATGCAAACAATGCAACAATTGTAAATAGAAAGGGTCCCTGCACTGTGCACAGGGTGGGTTTAGAGATGGTGAAGTTTGCCTAGGTGGCAAGATTAATGCTCATGGTTTCGTAGTTGTGTTGATAACCGTGAAAACTGCCGACATTGGTCGCCTCACTGTTCCTCTACAATGATTTTAGTGTTTGGATCTTTAATGACTTCTCAACTTAATGGTTTTTAACTACTTCAGAGTGATTCATAGAGTTGGATACGATTTTATTAGAGGGTGTCAATTTAAAAGTATGGATTAGGGGTTTACATTTTTAGGGTCTTCAACTATGGATACAAAGTTGTTCATCACGTTAGACTGGAATTTCAAGTTGAATTATGACCATGATAAAATGTTTCTTATGTTTACTTACCTTGGAGCGACTTCAATCCATTTTTTCCACCATCACAGATTTTTCATGATTCTTTTTAATTTTCATTTCTTATAAATAAAATTGTTCCAGTCAACTTATCGACGTGTTGACATGTTTAAGCGGTGGTACTTAAACTCAAAGCATCCTGGAGCATTGTTGACATGTTTAAGTAGCGGTGCTTAAACTCCAAACATCCTGGAGTATTTCTATCATTAATAATTTGTATCAAGCTCACCGTTTAATAAGAGTCCAACCTACGAACTTTGTGAAACGGAACAATGGAATCGCATCATAGATTTCTATATTTCCCTAAACATATTTAATGAAAAAGTTTTCCAACGTTTACAGGATCTAACATATACTGAATGCAAGCTTTAATCTTCGAACTCTCAAATGATGCATATCCTTTAGCATGCATCACAAATGTTTTATATATATGTTGTTGATTAAGTACGTGAGGTGCAACTCCGTCTTCGACTGTTAAAATATATTTATTGTTGGAAATTAAGGGCTTAGACTCTTAAATATACACTTTTCATCTTGCACTATCTACTGGTCTAAAGTGAGTCAGACCTAAATAATTTGTTTGTTTCTATCAAATTTATAAATGCATGTCTTCCAATATTAATGTCGTTGAGCCGTGCATTAGTTTTTATGGTTCGATGTTTGTTCTGTCTTTGGCTTCTCTCTGATTATGTATGTGTTTATATTTTGTCTTCCTATTTCTCTAGGTTTTGTTTTTATCGTTGGAGTCCTGCATTGTTCTTTGGTGGCATTCATTCACAGCTACGCTTTCGTCTCTACAACGGTTAGATTTTTGTCCCTTTAAAGAACCTTTAACTTTTTTACTTTTTTTTTTTTTTTTTACTCTTTTCTCGGTTTAGATGTTCAATTGTCAATGCATGCTTTTTTGGATCATAGTAACATCGTTATTCGATATTTATGCTGCTTTCCTTTATCACCATTTTTTGGCAATCATCGTTCACTTTAATCATTAATTTTCCACTCTGCACTGACAAACCACACTATTTAAGGAAACAATTACAAATCAACTGTCTCTATTCTTCATTCTAATCTAAAAAGATTAGGATTATGTTTTTACTATTATGTTAACAAAGTGTTTACGATTCTGAAGACCTCTTGCTTGAATGGGTTTTGGTTCACCGCTCATTTCATATGGTTAACATAGTTGTTTCATCGTCACATTGCTTTTGTTAGAAAGTAAACCACTGTTGTGTGGTTTTTTCCATTTATGTAGATTTATGTCTAGAAGAATAGGGCTATCTAAGAATGCCGCTAGAACTGAGCGTGCTGATTTGCCTACATCTATTGCGGTTGTTAATCTCGATGATATGGTGTTACAAGATGTTCCCATCAGTTATGACGACGAATACAACAATACTTCAACCTCTTTACTATTTTTAAACAAAGGAAACAACCCTCCCCAAACCTTTGCATCAAGTTTTGAACAACATACTCCTGTTGGAAGTCTTCTTAGCTCACATTCAGCAGCTAGAACAAGTTCTCATCAAATTTATGTACCCCTTTTTCTTGCTGACCATGCCACTATGCGCCGGTTGTTAGCCAAAGATGCTCCAACTATTCATTCTGTTACAAACCCGCTCATCACTGGACAACTATATATTGCGTTATCCAGAGTTACCTCAAAAAAGGGTCTCAAATTCGTTATTGCTCACAATAACGACATGCCCTATAGTTATACAAAAAACATAGTTTATAAAGATGTTTTAAAACATTTACAAGAAGGTATAACTTTGTGTTATTATTTTGTCCGTTTGTTTATTTTTGTAAACATGACTTCACTACTTCTTTGTTAAATCACCTTATTCAATTTTGAATTTAATTTGTTCCTAAATTGTTTATATATCTAGATTAATCGAAGAGCAACAAATTCGTTTTCTGACGCCATACCAGCCAGCAAACAAGCTCCACATCAGGGTATCCAAAATATGGGTCACGAAAAGCATCGGAGATAATCCTCAACCTATAAGTCTTGATTACGTCTTCGTTGATAAGGATGTGAGATTTTTACACCTTTTTACTTATCATTGAATGCTAGCATTTTTACGTATCCAAATGTGCATGCCATGTTCTCAGTACAACAAACTTTGTAATCAAACATAGACTAAATTCCACGAAGAAACTAATTTATACACCTTGCTACCCAATTATGCATTGCTTACGTAATTACCATTTGTCTGATTAATTGTTTTACTAGATATAATCTTGGGCTTAACATTAAATTTATACTGGGTTAACAAGTTCATGCAGATAGACAACAAATGAAAAACCTATTTTCTCCATATGATGGCATGGCTTTCAATAAATTTCATTCAAAAAAAAAAAAAAAAAATTTCACAGTGCACCATGTACACTTTTCCTATCTTTGGATTTCACTACAGATATTATATTTTGTTCTATTTGAGGAAGCTTTTATGACTGTAGAAACAAAACTAAGTATGAACTATCAATTCTTCTTTTCCTTAATTTTTCTTCATTGTTTTTTAACCTATACAAATCAAACTAAATGTGATTTTGCAAGGTTGCTTCAACTACTACCGATTTGATTCTTTGAATAATCTCCATTGTTATCTTGCATATGATCTTAAATGCTATCTAAGTAGCCACAACTAGACTATATTGCCTGTTTACGTGATTCTTAAACTATATGCATTAAATGTTATCCCACTCATTTAGTATTATGTCTAATCTTAAAATTCTCCTTCTAAAAGAGAGATGTGGTTCACGGAACCATCAACGGTCGAGACATCCAATTTTTTTTGGACCATCTAAGTGTCGGCAATGCATATGAAATCAACAAATTTCGTGTCGTTCACAACAAAAGATCAAGCAAGGTTGTCCCTCATGCAACCATCATTGAATTGAATAGGAAAACCACAATCATTCCTATTCACAAAACAAGTCAAGAACTCCCAATGCACTGGTTCAATTTAATTGAGCTTAATCAACTTCATTAGAGAATCGACAACGATGTTGAGCTTACAGGTAACAAATTTAGTTTCAAGTGCCACTCAAACATCTAAGTTGATTATTTATATGTTTTTGTTGCCTTCAGTGTCCACTTATTCCTCCCATTAACTATTATATGTAGATGTGTTTGGTTGCCTAACGGCTGTGCAGCCAACTGAAGAAATCACTATCCAGAACACAAGAGTTGCAAAGAAGAGAAATCTAAACCTGCAAAACATTAGGTAATTTCTATTTATGTTAAACGCTAAATATTATTTATATGCCACCCTATTTATGACATATACCAAACCATCATCTTTTGTATTACTTACAGAGACGAAACAGTGAGAATAACCTTATAGGGAGAGACTACAACAGGTTTTGAGACCAGTGGAATACAAGCACTTTTGCCACTCGTATTTTGTGCTTTCACAAGCCTGAAAGTAAAACAATACCAAGGTTATACCCTGCCATACTTTATCTAACTACTTAAAATTTCAGTTTGTTAATTGTTATCTCATATTTACAGGAAAACCTGTTCTCGGAAGCACAGGATCAACCGTTTGTGTTTTCAATCCAGAGATTCCACAACTCTCTGAATACAACCACAAGAAAATCGACAACCCTTCTTTAATAAATTTTTTGTTTATATTTCTTCGATTAATCTTTCTCACCCTAAACATGCACAAAACAGGTTTAAGGATAGCAGATCACCTCTTCAAATCCTGCCCACCTCAGCTAAGATGTATACAGGCTGTGCAGTCAGTGCTACTACTGAGTCAAAAACAATTGACGAGTTGCTTTTACTTGATCTTGCCTTGGACAAGGTTAGTTTGTCATCACCAACCTATTCACCGAAATCACCTCTTTTTACTAATAGATTTTCGTGCTGCATCTAACTTGACCATGTCTTGCTTTGTTTCTCTATCTGTTTATACTCCATGTTTCCAAAGTTAATTTCAAAACCTCATGTTTCCATAACAGAATGCAAGTTTCGTATGCCAAGCAACTATTGTTGAATTCAATTTGACTAAGGGCTGGTGGTACAAATCATGCCCGTCTTGCCATAAAGTTGTCAAGAAAAACTCTGAATCGTTTGAGTGCAATGAACATGGGTTCATAAACAGATTACCCGAACCATGGTAATATACTTTTACACCTATTTTACATATGATGGTTATATTAAGTTGCTGAATCTTTTTTTATTATCTTGCGATTATGACAAATAAGTCGTCTCCCCAAGGATTACATAATACATAAATGATCCTTCATCCATGCTAAGGATGCCCCTATGGTGTGCATCCCAGGCCTTGCTATAAAAAATTCATTCAACAATCATTTCAAAAATTCCTCTTTGGTTATCACTTTCTGGTTAATAGCTGTGATTCTAAATAGGACCATCGTCAAATATCCTTTTAAATTTGTTCCAATTAAGAATTGTAGCCTACAACAATCTATTTTCTATATCATTCGGTTGCACTCATCCTTATTTTATGTGTTTTAGTCGTGCTTATTCATATTTACACATGTTCATTAGTTTGGAATTAAACTTCCAATGCACAACTTTTGAACATCATATTAATTGTTAAACAATGCCTTGCAAACTTTGGGAACCATCATTTCCATTTGTGCTTCTACTTTATAGAGCCAGCAGCTAAAATCAGGTTATTATGTTGTTCCATGATTCGTTAACTCAAAACTTTCAAACATAAACTTCTCATTCCGCACAATATGTTGATGTAAGCAAAGAACCCGCTTCTAACCTTGTTTAAACATAAACTCCAATAATCAAACCTTTACGATCACAATCTTTAACCAACGTTTTATTTTGGCTAAAATCCTAGGATGCTCTCATAGAGAAAAGCAAGCATTTTGATAGTGTTTGAACCCAAATTAACAGTTTTGGGCTGAGAGAAATTATGGGCTCTGCCCAGGGGAGAAATCTCATAATACTTGGAATATTCCCAAGTCAAGCCCAACCCAAGGAAGGACAACCGAGTCTTACCAGGAATTGGTTTCATCGTAAACTTGGAGAGAGTCGGCTGAGTCCTGATGCAATAAAAAGTCTTCATATGCCCGTGGTGCCTCGAATCAAGGAGCATCTATAAAAGATCAAGGATTGAATCTGGAAGAAAATGAGGCTGGGTTCAGAGTGTTAAATTTACTAGAATAGGTCGAAGCCCATTCAGAATGGATAAAGGAGAACTCGAGGAATTATGATCCGAGTGAGATTCAACTTCTTCCATGTGGGAAATTATTACCATGAATAGAGAAGGGAGTGCATCATTCAAAGCCCTCTTCAAAATAACACACAAATCTGTCATGCACGAACTCTCGCTCTAAGCAAAACCTCTCAAACATCTTGAGAAATTAATTTTACTGTTTTTCCCACCAACACATCTTCAGTTTGGGTAAATAGCACTGCGAAGCCAACCAGTGACATCTTCAGTTTGGATAAATAGGCTTGGAGCTATAGAATCAAGCGATCGATGAGCACCTTCAGTTTAGATAAACAGCACTACTTCGAGACCAACTGATTAGCTATCTGAGTCTTGGCCAACAAGGACTAAAGGTCACTTCATTATCTTCACGGCGAGCAAGGTGTGACTAGGTTACGACATTTGGTGCACTAAAAGCCAAATATTTATTGAACTTCATAGTAACTAGCAGTCTTGTCTTCAGGCTCTAGATCCCGAAGGCGAAGACGTGTTCATTCCTCGGCCACAGTCGTAAGATTTAGAAATAATCATCCCGCCCCACGCCACATCGACATTCATTCACTCCCTGGCCGAGCTCGGCCGACGAGTTGGCACACCCCACATTCAACCAAATGACGTAGTTAGCTTATTAGTTATTCGGCATGTGCGTCGTAGGCTAAGCAGTTTTTAGGCTCAACAGATAGAGAAAGACAAGGTTTTTGACCGATGGATGGTAATTTTAAAGTTTTGGATCCTCAAACTAAGGTATGAATCGATTTATGCAAGATTTTTTTGGTTTGATTTCAATTTTTTTTTTTTTTTTTTTTTAAGTTTAGGAGTATATTGCCAGCAAAAAAGGACTTTGTTAGCCCAAGTTTGTGTGTGGGAAACAAAGGAAAGAAAAGAAAAAGATGCCCTAACTTTTAACGTGAGAAAGCCGTTACAAATCGTCTATGATTTAGAAATGGTCTATGATTGATGGAATTTATGCTGAAGCTAAGGTTGCATCTATGCAATTTTCCATGGCTACGTAGGCTTCATTCCGTGGTTGCAGCGATCCATTTTTGTTCTGTAATGCTTGCGGAATTGTTCAGTCAGCAGCTACCGAATAAATTAAAACGTCAGAAGAGAGAATGTATGCTTTGAATTTGGTTTTTTATTTTTTAAATAAATGTAAAGATAAATTTACACATTGAATTGAGTTTGTGGGAGTAGTAAATTTGCGTTTAAAGAGATATTGATAGTTGAATTAACTGAGTATAAAGAATAAATTACGTGTAAAATAAAATTATATGGATTCAAATAAAGCTTTCCTGATATATCATGTGTAAGTCGTTTTTTCATATGGCATAGTGTTACTTGGATATACTGCGATGTAAGTAAACACTTGAGGAAGGTGAAACTTAGACGAAAGTCACGAAATCCAATTCCCGCTATCTACTTGATCTTAGCCAAAAGAACAAGAAATGTATTTTCTTCTAACGGTTCTTTTTTCTTTTCTTTTTTTCCTTTGTTTTTACTTTTTTTTTTTAGTAAGTCATGCTCATTATCATTGTACGTTTGGTTAGCGCTCACACCCTCTTCTTCTCTCCTACAATTTTAAAAATAAAAAAACAAAGTTTTACACACACTGTATGTGTGCCAATATACTAGTACTATTATTAAGAAAAGAGGTGTAACATCCCACATCGCCCAGGGGAGTGATCCTTATATGTATTTTCTCATCCCTACCTAGCACGAGGCCTTTTGGGAGCTCATTGGCTTCGGGTTCCATGGGAACTCCGAAGTTAAGCGAGAAGGGAGCTAGAGCAATCCCATGATGGGTGACCCACTGAGAAGTTACTCGTGAGTTCCCAAAAACAAAACCGTGAGGGAATGGTAAGTCCAAAGCGGACAATATCGTGCTACGGTGGTGGAGCGGGCTCGGGAAGTGATCCGCCCCGGGCCGGGATGTGACAATTGGTATCAGAGCATAACCATGGCCGTGGTGTGCCGACGAGGACGTTGGGCCCCTAAGGGGGGTGGATTGTAACATCCCACATTGCCCAGGAGAGTGATCCTTATATGTATTTTCCCATCCCTACCTAGCACGAGGCCTTTTGGGAGCTCACTAGCTTCGGGTTCCATGGGAACTCCGAAGTTAAGCGAGAAAGGGGCTAGAGCAATCCCATGATGGGTGATCCACTGGGAAGTTGCTCGTGAGTTCCCAAAAACAAAACCGTGAAGGAATGGTAAGCCCAAAGCGGACAATATCATGCTACGGTGGTGGAGCGGGCCCGGAAAGTGATCCACCCCTAGCCGGGATGTGACAAGAGGCCCTGTCAACTTATTTCTCATAATGACAATCATGTCCCAAATTTTTCTATTTTACCCTAACTCATAATACACAATATTTACAACATGAGGGCAAAACAATAATTATGAACATATTAAAAAAAAAAAAATGCCCACGTTGGAAGCAGTTGCCCCATCATTGTTTCATTTTCATAACTAATTTTTTCTTTTTCAGAATTTTAAAAACTAATCACTTCTTAATCAAAAATAAAAAATAGAAAATAAAATGAAATTGTTTACACACGTAGAGTGTGTTGGCATTTGCTAATATATATATATATAGGGTAGTGTTATTCACACATTTCTTTTACCTCTAACACATTATTATTAATTTTTATCTATTAATTTTCTTTAATTCATTCGATCCGGACGGTCGAAAATTGAAAAAAACGTGTGAATAAAATCCCTATATATATCATTCTATTGTTAATTACACTGTTTTGCTTTCTTTCCAAGTCCAACAACAATTCACATGTAGAGCTACTATAGATCTCTGTGTGGATGGTCAATAATTGAAGGGAATCCGAGAGAAGCGATAAAGTAATGTATGGTATTGTCCCTATCCCAGCAAATAAAGCTTTTCTGGTCCCAGATCGGACAATCATAACACACCTAGTCAAGCAGGTCATGATTTAATTCCAATAGGTAAATTTCTGATGGTACACTTATATCACTGAAAAAATTATGTATCTTGCTTTCTCGATCATTATCTGAATTAAATCACATGCTCCACCGCTTGTGCAGTCTTCGTCAATTCTGTTGAGTTTCCTTTTTGCGAATGTACTTTCTAGGCGAGTTACTTAACGTGTTACTAAACTTAAACTTGGAAGTTTTTCTTAGATAAAAAAAAATCCAATGCTATTAGAAGTGCAGATTTCTGTTGGAGGAGGAAACGTAGGTGGGAATACACGGAAGTTATTGACTAGGTAAAAGTTGCCGAAGCCCATAAAACGCGTTGCCTTTTCCAACTTTAAAGTTTTTGGCATCAAAACAAAGCCAGTGAAACATTCCATGTGAAAATTTTTAGTGATATCTGAACACTTTGAACTAGTACTCAATAGCAAAGCAAAACTAGCTCATCCCCACAATCCAAACTATTTCTTCCTTTTTATTTCTTTTCAGATTTGTAGACTTATTTCTTAAGGGTGATGCTATCACTCACTCCTTTTAACTTTTCACAAATTGCTCTTAATTTTTACATTCGAATTGAATAAATTGAAGATGATAAAGTGTCAGCAATTAACAAAGGACTATATATATAGGGATAGGATCAAGGGACAAATATTTTTACAAATACTTTTACACTCTTTTTAAGCCTTTTGATAATTATTCACTTGAAAAATACAAATACAATTATATCACTGTGATTGCTTTCTCGATCATTATTCGAATTAAATCACATGCTCCATCACTTGAAAAATACGCTCTACGGCCAAGGGCACTATAAACGCTCTTTGTCGTCTTTCATAGCAAATGACACACTTGAAATGGGGGGAAAAAATAGAGAAGAAGAAGAAGAATGATTTTGACTAAATAAAGATCTCTTCTAATTGGGATACCCAGGAGTGCCTCCACATTCAAAGAAGGTGGAACAAACTCAACAATAAAGA